CTGCTGGCTGGTGTCTTAATCAAAACTGAGTTGCTTTCATCAAAATTAAAAGGCATTTCATCATGTCTGTATTCTCAGCAATGCACAATGTCTCACGGATCTTCCCTGTAAAAAGGATGCAAAGGCTCCTACATATTGGTATATTTGATTATGGTGATTCTCCAAAGTGGATTCACTGTGATTCTAAACAATGTATAATGGCTCATGGAAAAACTGATTCTGGCCAAGAAAAGTAGCAAGACAAGAAATACTCTTAACCTGTGGGGTCCACTGCACTGGATGTTTATGCTAGGACAGTGTTTGAACCTGAAGGATTCCCATGAAGTAGAAGCTGGGAGAGAAAGAAGATACAGCAAAGTTGTCTTGCTTTCATTCTATGTTAATTTTCATATTAAATGCAGTTAGCGAGGGTTTTCAGTTAGATAATGTTTTCTATGAAAAAAAAAAAAAAACAACAAACCACTTAATGCCTAGATTGAGTCTTTACACTTACAGTCATCTTTCCCTCTGAAAGCTTGGTCATTAAACCAATGAGCTGTATTACCTGCTTTCTAAGTATATTACCTATCTACATGTTAGCTACTACTGTTAATTTTATGTCTGTGTTTAAAGTGCTATTTACTGTAAACATATTAAACTAAGACAGTTTAGAAAGAAAAATGATTTATCAGAATAGATACAAAACATGACCCATATAGATCCCAAACATGGTAAGGACAAGGCCCGCTCCTCTGTTTGGTAAGTTCTACAGCATACAAAATCTGGCTAACTATATCTTTGCACGGTACCCAAAGTACCTTGAGCTTTCATCTTGACTGGGGATTTTGGTGCTGTAACAGTGTGTGAATAAAATTATTCACCACAGGAATCATAGAACTTACCAACTGATTAATTCATGAAATGCTAAAGAACCAAATGACATTAATTTAGTGAGGTTAAGAACTTCAATTAGTTAATTACCTACTTGAAAATAATAAACTTTGTAATCCATATTTTGTTCTTAGGAAATATTATACATTAGATATTCACTAGCTCATACCTCTCCATACTATCTGTATCTATATGTTTATGCTGAGCTGAAAATAGAACATTCAAAGGATTTCATAGCTTCCTTAACTTGGGAAAAAACATTTTCTACATGAAACACAATTATCACTAATCTTCCTTTAAAAAAAACCCTCAATTAATTTAGAAGCACACTTACACTCTATACAGAAATAAAACATGCACAGGTACAGAATACATTTAAAACAAATGTTTGTCTGTATAACCCGATACGTCAGCTTATCATCTTCTCTTAACAGAGTGAAAAAAGCATGAAAAAGAGAAGAAACTGCTTCTCTGTTTCCAGGAAGAGTCCCACTGATTACAAATAACAGTATTATTATGAGCAGGTTTTAAAATTAGACTCAAATTTACTAGTAGTTTATTAAAAGCAATTAATTTTTAATAGGCTGTATGATAAATGGTAGTATGCATTAGAAATAATTCATCAGTAGATGCATGCTGGTAATGCATAAAAATTTCTGGAATCCAAATAATCTTAAGAATTGTTTTGTCATTTTTTAATATGCTATTTGCAGTTTGTTAAACCCTTTTATAATTAATCCAAGCCTACTAACAACTACTATCCTTGCTGCATCAAGCAGTGAGTTTCTGCAAAAGCATAAATGCCCTGGGCAGTCCTCTGATGGGAACTATCAAGTCAGTCCTGTGGGTCTCTAGTCTCAACTGTCACTCTGCACTGCCTTTTCACACCAGCTGTGGAGTGGGTAGGTGATAGTCTGGCATGACAGCAGTCCTCTAGCCTGTTCTCAGTTGGGTGGTTAAACCTGTGCTTCATGGTCCAAAGCACACTGGTATTAAAGGCTGCAACCTCAGGCAAGCTTCTCAAGAAAGTGTTTTACCAAGAATCAGCTTAGCATTTCCTTTGCATAAATACTGTTGTATCCTCAGGTAAAGAAACACTACGACTGTTTTCAAGTAGTTGAAAGTCAAAACCAGTCATATCACAAGATTGCAGGCTTTCACAAAGACAAGCAGATCACTAATAGCAGACCCCAGCAATGACCATTGAGTTTAGATGGGCTTTCAGACACATTTGGAAGCAGCTGATCCCAGCAAGAAGCAGGGAGTTGGACTCTATTCTTATTGTTGCTTCAACTTGAGGTATTCTATGATTCTATATTTATTCCACAGTCTCTGATCCTGTAATTAATGGCAAATAAGAAAACTCCTCCAGTTGTATGGAGGTTGAGTTTATAGCAGTTCACAGAATAATTCAGGTTGAAAGGTGCCTCAGGAGGTCGCTGTTCGCTACATTCAGTTGGAGGCTTTGGGCTCGATTATGTTCACATAAATCCGTATGAACAGGAAGAAATAATTTGTCGCAAGTTTAGAAGCGAATCAAAATAAGAGATTACTGGCTAATGCCTTTCAGCCTTCTGTGGAAAGATAGCCTGTAATCATACTTCTATCCACTTTCACTGGGTATGCTTCATTTGCAATTCCCTGTCAAATCCTGTAGCTTGCTTACACTGTGTAAGCAAGGTAAGTGTTCCTGTTGCATATGGGATACACAGCCGTGTGCTTTAGAACAATTCCAAGTAGATGCCCATAGGAAGAATAACCTGCCAAAGGCACTGGCTAGCCATGTTGAAGCTCAAGGAATGAATCTAGTCATGGTCCCTTATTCCCAGTTTAGGATAAGCTAGAGATATCAAACGCCTAAAAGACATAACCTTACAGCAATAAAATACACAAAGTTACACTGATGCTTTGACAGTATGCCTCATTGACACCTTCCCTTAGTTTAGAAAGACTCAGCCTATTTCCTATGAGGGGGAATACCTACTGGTATTCCGAGTGCCCATACCTGGTTTCACCCACCCTGTCAGTTTACCAAGGAAATCTAAGCAAAAAGAACAATATCTATCTCCTGCGCCTCTGAACTGCACAGGAATACAAAAATACTAGGTTTTACAGTACCTTTACAATGTTCAATTTTGATGTTAAATTTCTGAAATGGCTACTAATCTTCTGCAAAACCAGTGAGGGACAGAAATGCAGAGCACTCTGCTAGAAGCTGTAGATACTAGTCAACTAGATGGCCATACTGCATAGATGACTGAGACTATCAAGTCTAAAAATACCAGTATCAAGAATCAAATGAATGGCTTTGCGTATCTAACGAACAAAGCACCAGTTCAGAATAATGACGCTATTTATAGGGTTATAGAATAATATGCATGTACATTATGGATGTTCTTTAATTTCACAGATGTGATTTTATTCTTTTAACATCCATCATTACTCATATTTAAGCTATACAATATACAGAACAGAATTAAGTGAAAGTCATCAGAGATCTACTTCATACTTTATAATTATAAGGATCTATATGTATATATTAACATTAAAAAAGACTAGATATGGTCCATACTAAAGCAGGTAATTGTGTGTTATGACACTGAGTTTGAATAGCTATGAACAGAAAAGAATATTCTTAGCATAGAACTATGGAAGAGCTTTAGCAGAAACTAAGGGGATTGACTACTGTGACAATGCTTGTCACCATACTCTTGTATCCCCTGGAAGTTCATTAGATACTCGATTTTGTCGATCTTCAACATTGCTTTTATAAAGGATCATGGCCTCATCAAAACCAATATTTTACTTACAACTGAACATAAAAAGGACTAAAAAGACCCCAGGAAAACTGCAAAACTGCTTTGAAAGAGAATAAAACCACTTGTGACATGTTTTCAAGACCAATCCACCACAGTGAACGCCTACCACAAAGTCATACCGTGTTTTCCCCCAAAACTAAAGTACAGATAGGATTTGTCCAACAGACAGGAATGCACTTCAATAAGAGATAAAGAAGAATTCTTAAGGATTCAATTTTAACAACTCCTCTGAACATTAAATGGAAATAAGAGACACCATAGAACTTCTTCATGCTAAATCCATGACACCCATATTTTTGTGTAAATACTAATATTCTTCATAACCTTTTTTTTAAACATTTAAATATTTATTCAGAAAACAGCACAAGAGGAGGTTATTTGTCTCTTCTGGGTCATTTTTCTCTCAAACAGCACTATACACATTTTGGAAAGCATCATTCCCACCAGCTATGTGGGGTCACTTTTCACCTAGGGTAAGTGCAAGAATGTAACTGCAGTGTATCAGCAACCAAAAACCATAGTAACACTTTTTATTGTGCAAATACTTAACATTCACCTTGGTGCTGGAATAAAAGTATCCACGGAATATTTTATAGGATGAGCTACAGCAAATTTAACCTGAAGAGTTCACAATAGCTTGGAGCAATACTTGAGTTCATGTCGCTGTATTAATGTAAGATAGCCACTCTGAAGCTAGATCTTGACTTTAGATGCTACGTGTTCTAACCAGTCATTGGCTTGGTACATAAACCCTTCTGCTCTTCATCTACAGAGGATATAAATTGTGCTGTTAAACCCAAGATTTTCTGTTTGACCTTTCAGCTGTAGCAGCTTGCTTTTCAATCGTGAATTATTTGGAAAAATAATTATCTTCCCATTCAACTGGACAGCAATCCTACAGCTGCTGGCCACTACTAGAGGCTGCTGAGTTCAGAATCATCACTAGATTACACTGTAAAACACAATCCAGATTTGATAAGACTTTTCAGAATAGTAAAGGTCCATGCTTTCTGCTCATTCTTCCCCAAAGGTTCTTTCTGACAGCAGCTTGCACTATAGTGAAATCACTCTAAGAAAAGAGATGGGATGACTTCATGCCGTAAAAATCCTACTCAAGTTCTGCAAGTCACTCAAAACGCAAGCAATAAACAGCAGGTGTTTTCTTTGTTGCTTATTTGTCTAGCATTACACAAATCATCCTGCAGTCGTAACACTGACAGACACAAAAGAAAACACTTCATCTGCCCTTCAGTTCAGGAAGGTGACTTATCTTCTATTTCTTCACCTGGAAAAGACTGTAAATAAACAAACCTGTTTGGCCAACTGATCCTTCTTTACCAAGCCAGTGGCTGCAGCAATGTTCCCTGCTCCTTCTACCGTCTTCTGGGCCACCGCTGTCACTCCTGTCACCACAGCTCCCCCAACATTAGATACTTGCTCTTTGGTCTTCTCAGCCACTGAGGAGAAGCAGAAGATGGAAGAACACATTATTATTACAGCTCTTGCAGCTCTAAGTTTTTCAGGTAATTGTATCTATCGCTGACAGCCCAGCTTGAATAGCTATAAGGCCATTATACTTTGTGTAGCCCAAGTGGATCTTAGGAAATGAGACTATCCATCAGGTAACACCAGAGCAAAAGAAGTAAAAATAAGCCTTATTTGTGGCTCAATTTATTTCATGTGAAAGACATTTGACATTTTTATTCATGTACTTCAGGGAAGAGAAGTCATTACTTAAGGGCCCTTATTACGCCCAACTTACTGTGTAACATATAGTAATTGCCTTCAATATATCCCAGTTTGGAAATGCATTCCAATTAGACCACCAAACACCTGCTGCATGTTACAGGGCATGGAAGAAGATTGTTTTTACATTACTCAAAAGCCATAGATTATTATTTTATTATCTCTTAAAATATACTTGATTAATAAGCAGAGCTGCTGTTGTTCAATCAGAGAATTTCAAATACAACCTTTCATCTGATTCTCTGAGACTTTTGCCCCATTGCTGATGTGTCCATCTAACACACTAATCTACAAAAAGATCGAATGCCAAAGATGTCAAAGCAAACTGGATTAATACCTAGCTTCTAAGCCCCAGGGAAACAACAACTCATTTAGCCTACATATACATCAGCAGTTGCCATTCTACCTTTCAGAATATCACTGGGTTCTTTCTGCTCATTCATCCCCAAAGGCTCTTTCTGACAGCAGCTTGCACTATAGTGAAATCACTCTAAGAAAAGAGATGGGATAACTTCATGCCGTAAAGTTACACAGGCAAATTTTTGGCATAAAGCACATTTACTCATGTAAACAAGGGACTGTTCTTCAAAAACATACAGCATATAATTCTGTAATTCTAACTAATCCTATGCTTTCCTTCAGCACAAATCCCATCTGATTTATAAAATGTGTTCATAACTCTATTTGCACCCTTTAATGAGCATAGGATAGGATGCTGCTTGGCAGATAGGTCACCCTTTTAGAGGCTTTTTTGTGATATATGAAAACAAGTCTTTCTCAGGTAAATTTTATTTCATTGATTCCTTACATAAGGAGTATCAGCTGTCCATATCACAGGGCATGCAGCATAGATTGCTATGATTGACATTAAATTACAGCAATTAGGAAAAATCTAGGAAGGTGAACAGTGTGCCTACTATGTGATTTTCATTAAAGACCCAAATAATAAGTATCTGCTGACTGAAAATGGAGGCAGATCATTTAATACTCATCCTAACTTAAAATGAAAAGTTAGTAAACAATTATCTCCAATATGACCAAACCCAAGAGCTTTTGTTATAGAGTGGGACAACAACAGACTACATACATTGTTGAAATTAGAAACAGAAGAAGTCTGTTATGAATATCTTCCATGTTAATAAGATACAAATTCACACGAAATGTCATTGTATCCATTCAGCATTCTACTGCCATGCTTTTTCCAGAAAAAAAAAAAAGAATAATCAAAAGTAGGTTTTGCTGAAAAGCAAATGTTGCCCTCAGGGAAAGTTACGCATAATGCTAGCAAGAGCAGAAAGATATCTATTAAGATGCCCCATTTGATTAATACCAGCTACAGACCATGAAAAGCTCTGGATTCAAAACAAAGTTTATATTGGAAGTTTTTCACTAGTTCTTGCAAACACATATCTTAAGGTGTGTGACCCAGTAACACATCATGTCTTCCAAAAAGTGTTAAGATCTAATTGTGCACAGTCTTTCAGAAACAAAGAGTAACATTATGAGACAAACTTGTTAACGCTTTCATGTTATTAAGCATGGTAAGACAAAATCTCAGAGCTATGTAATAAAAGTAGCATCTTGCAAAAATACATTTTAACATTGTATTCTACAAGAAACCTAGGGGAAAAAAAAAAAGAAAAAAGAAAAAGATGTGTTTTGGATAAGTTTCACTATTGCTTTTTATTTTCCTCCACCTCTTTCCTTTTCTGGAAGAGAAGACAAAACCAACAGAAGATATATAAATCAGTATAAATCAGGATCCTTCTTATATACTTTTTTTTCTGTTAGTTTTCTTGTATAGAAGAGACACACACTGTTTTGAAAACTTTTTATAAAATGCACTGAATGTCAGAACAGTTAAAAGAGAGAAATTCAGCAGGCACGATGCTGACAAAGAATCACATGCTCAGCTGCTCTTAAGCATACTCTTCCCTTCTCATAAAATGATAAGGCATGGTTGCACTGTGTTCATTGTCAATAGCCATTAACAGTTTCATTATATCAAGATCTTAAACTGCACCTCAAAAGCAAAATATCAAGAAATAGAGTGAAATTGAGTGTACTGTGGATGCTGCAATATAAAACACCTAATTCCTGAAACCATTATTAAACTCACATTTCTCAGACTATCTTGTCATTGCAAGTATAACCACCTACCAAGAGCAACTACCCAGTAGCTGCCATTTCCACTAATAGAATGTTTGGGGAAGACTGTCTGAAGTCTATTTTCTCCTCCCAGAAACACATTACCCTAAAAAAGGCTCAGTATATGCAAGCAAAATAAAAAAGCAAAGAATCAGGTGGCTAACACCATTACTGGCACAAGAAGATACCTAAAAAAAGTAGCAACAAAAGCAGTATATTTAAGACTACTTCTATTTCAGACTGTCATGGTTTAACCTCAGCCAGCACTTTCTGGGTCTGGGTTGTAAAGAGAGGCTCCAGGTGGGGCTGAGGCATAAAGCACATTTTTTACATCTTGTCCTGCCCAAGCTGGCCCAACTGCTACTGCATGAACCATCTCCAGTTTAATTTGTTCAAAAGCTTACTGCCACTCAGGGCTCCCATTCAAAGTCATTGTTCTTCCAGGTCACTTGATAGAAAAGGCTTATGATCAGACAATTACCTGGAATATGCATTCTCAAAACACATACACTGCAACACCTAACTGTCGTGGTTTAAGCCCAGCCAGTAACTCAGAACCACGCAGCTGCTCACTCACTACCCGACTCCTTCCTCCCCCCACTCCCCGAGGGATGGGGAGGAGAATCGGAGGAATGCAACTCCCACGGGTTGAGATAACAGCACTCCAGTAACTAAGGTATAATACAAACCACTACTGCTACCACCAATAATAAGGGAAATGACAAGGGGAGAGGACACAACCGCTCACCACCCGCCGACCGATACCCAGCCTGACCCGAGCAGCGATCTGGGCCTTCC